AGAAAATCCTAAATAGCAAAAGGCACAACTACTGTAATAGGTTGATATGTGTGCAAAGTTTCAGAAAGATATCTTAAACGGTTTATGAGATATGCTCCGGAAACGAAATCGGACGGACGGACAGACGAACCCCATTTCAATATCCCTCCCTAACTTCGTTCGGCGCGGGATAATAAGAATATATATAGTGATAATATGATAATAGAGTCTCTGGTTCAGCAACTACCTTTATACATCAACACATCATATAGCCTACTACTATATATATATGTATCACCTCTCCTTCAGAGAGAGGGGGTGGGGCACTTGACACAAACTATAGGTATCACCCATTCCTCCAAAATAAAATTAGATCAATACCTTCATGTGATATAAAGAGAGACAGAGAGAAAGTGGGTCCAATTGACAAATTAGATCATTTTTGGGACCAGTGCCGGACTGGGCCCACCTGTCCAGACACCCCCTCGGACGCTCGCGCGCCATAGGCGCGCTCGTGACGCTACTTCGGCGCGTACTTGTGTGGGCCTTGGTCAATGACCAGTCCGGCACTGTTTCGGACTAACTGGATACAATTTTATTTCAATAATTCGCTGGCACTATAAAGTCTTTAGCAGTGGGAGGAATCTGGAGGTCCTGGGGGAAAACCCAAGAGATTGGGCATGTAACCAACTCCTAGTCCATACAAGCTTGAAGCTTAGGATCAGAACTACACCACTTAACTCAATATAGATATTTGACTACGACCTAGGTTTTAAGGAGCTAAATCTCTATTCTTTGGCACCTAGAAATGGACACAAATGGGTCGCAACGCTAACAATGTAATATGAATGTATATAAACTGATTTACATTCAATCGTTTCTGTTTTTACTGTCATTTCTAATCAGTTATGTTCGGTGAAATACGCGAAGAGTCCTAATTGAATGGCAGTCTTTGGCATCTGGTTATTCCAGTCTACACCGGTAGTATTCTCCCCTGTGGGATATGTTTAGACTCGTTCATCGAGTCACTTCATTACAAATGGTGCTCAAAAGCATTCTGGCATCCAATTTGAGTGCCAATTTTAAAATTTTCATTTTGACTTAAATATTGGATATCATATGCCCATCTTTTTGCCGTAAATGAACATCAATGTTGATATAAATTGACCAATAAGTTTTGTTTGCAATGTCGAAGACTGTGGATGATATTGAGTTAGGGACTTGCCTCCTTCAATATATATAGAACTGGGCTTCAATTACAAACATCTAATTCAGTCCTAAGATTCTTGCATATTGCTTGTTTACAAATATTTTGAACACAGTTTTTGAGGCAAGGGCAATAACTCTGTCAAAAAACATCATTGTATAGTGGGTAAATCTTTATTTTATAATATATAATAAAACAAATATATACTAGCTAGGCCTAAATGTCATTGTGTATACTATTCAAAAAAAGTAGGGGATATTTGATTTTTAAGTGTTATTAAAGTCACCTAATGAAACTGACGAAGAAACAAATGACAAAATGAAATGAAGTTCACATTCATCGATTTATTCCAAATGATCGTTAGACTAAGTAAGGCACAGACTGACCATTATAAGGGTAAAATGATACCCGGGGTCAAACAGCAAAGTTACCACAGCATCACAACCAAGTCAGTAACGGGTAAATCCTCTTCTGTTTGCCAAACAAGCATTGATCCGACGTGGCATACTCCTAATGAGACGTCTAAGGTCATTTTGGTCCAGATTGTCCCATTCCTGTTGCAACGCAGCAGCAAGTTCTTGGACATTGGCAGGACGTTGTTGACGTTGACGTAACCTCTGTCCAAGCATGTCCCAGACATGCTCGATGGGGGAGAGGTCGGGACTCAGTGCTGGCCAAGGTAACGTGGTGATGTTCTGTTGTTGGAGGTAACCTGTAACGATCCTGGCCCTGTGACATCTTGCGTTGTCATCCTGGAAGATGAAACGGCGGCCATGACGTCGTGCGAACGGCACAACATGGACTGCCAAGATGTTGTCCCGGTAGTACTGGCCTGTAACACGCCCTGCAACAACATGTAAAGCCGTTCTTCCAGCAACAGTGATGCCTCCCCACACCATAACAGAACCACCCCCAAATCGATCATGTCTGATGACGTTAACGTCTTGGAAGCGCTCGTTTCGACGACGCCACACCCTCCTACGTCTGTCCAAAAAATCAACAGTGAACCTTGACTCATCTGAAAACATCACATTGCTCCAGCGTCGATTATCCCAGTGTTGACGATCCCTACACCAACGACGTCTTGCCTGAATGTGATGATCTCTCAAACAAGGGATCACGCGAGGACGTCGGGCGCGAAGGTGACCCCTATGCAGTCGATTCCGAATCGTCTGGCCACTCACTCTCACACCAGTGTCTGTTTGAAGACGAGCACTGATCTGATTTGCTGTGATGACACGATTTCTCAAGGCCAAGGTACGGATAAATCGATCCTGGGCTTGAGTTGTCGCCCTTGGTCGACCTGAGCGTGGTCTGTCCTGTACAGATTGTGTATCACGGTATCTGGACCATAGCCTGCTTATGACAGACTGAGAAACATTCATCGTCCGCGCCACAACCGCCTGTGTTGTGCCGATCTGTAGCATGCCAAGGGCACGTAACCTTTCATTTTGGGTAAGCCGACGCATATCAAAATTTGTTTTCTGGTCACTAAAACAATTAAACTGATGTTTCCACCCTGGAATTCAATGCCACAATGACTGTAACATTCAAAGTCAGAGTCGTGCAAATCTTGGGTTGGACCCCCATGATGATCCCAAGCATCACCTGCATTCCATGCGGTAGCTATTGGTGCGTTTGGGCGTCACATGTAACTGGAAATGTTTCTTCTGTTAGGTTCTATAGTGACTTTTTTCGTAGTCATTTGCATATTTTAGTATTATGCCCCCAAAATCAAATATCCCCTACTTTTTTTGAATAGTATATATACTTTATTGTGCTATCCAGTTACTAAATTCTAAAAGAATAAGGGTCGTCTGTTCAACCATGTGGGTTTTCTCCGAGTCCTCCCACTGCTAAAGACCCCTACAGTTACATGTGACGCCCAAACGCACCAATAGCTACCGCATGGAATGCAGGTGATGTTTGGGATCATCATGGGGGTCCAACCCAAGATTTGCACGACTCTGACTTTGAATGTTACAGTCATTGTGGCATTGAATTCCAGGGTGGAAACATCAGTTTAATTGTTTAAGTGACCAGAAAACAAATTTTGATATGCGTCGGCTTACCCAAAATGAAAGGTTACGTGCCCTTGGCATGCTACAGATCGGCACAACACAGGCGGTTGTGGCGCGGACGATGAATGTTTCTCAGTCTGTCATAAGCAGGCTATGGTCCAGATACCGTGATACACAATCTGTACAGGACAGACCACGCTCAGGTCGACCAAGGGCGACAACTCAAGCCCAGGATCGATTTATCCGTACCTTGGCCTTGAGAAATCGTGTCATCACAGCAAATCAGATCAGCGCTCGTCTTCAAACAGACACTGGTGTGAGAGTGAGTGGCCAGACGATTCGGAATCGACTGCATAGGGGTCACCTTCGCGCCCGACTTCCTCGCGTGATCCCTTGTTTTGAGAGATCATCACATTCAGGCAAGACGTCGTTGGTGTAGGGATCGTCAACACTGGGATAATCGACGCTGGAGCAATGTGATGTTTTCAGATGAGTCAAGGTTCACTGTTGATTTTTTGGACAGACGTAGGAGGGTGTGGCGTCGTCGAAACGAGCGCTTCCAAGACGTTAACGTCATCAGACATGATCGATTTGGGGGTGGTTCTGTTATGGTGTGGGGAGGCATCACTGTTGCTGGAAGAACGGCTTTACATGTTGTTGCAGGGCGTGTTACAGGCCAGTACTACCGGGACAACATCTTGGCAGTCCATGTTGCCGCCGTTCGCAAGACGTCATGGCCGCCGTTTCATCTTCCAGGATGACAACGCAAGATGTCACAGGGCCAGGATCGTTACAGGTTACCTCCAACAACAGAACATCACCACATTACCTTGGCCATCACTGAGTCCCGACCTCTCCCCCATCGAGCATGTCTGGGACATGCTTGGACAGAGGTTACGTCAACGTCAACAACGTCCTGCCATTGTCCAAGAACTTGCTGCTGCGTTGCAACAGGAATGGGACAATCTGGACCAAAATGACCTTAGACGTCTCATTAGGAGTATGCCACGTCGGATCAATGCTTGTTTGGCAAACAGAGGAGGATTTACCCGTTACTGACTTGGTTGTGATGCTGTGGTAACTTTGCTGTTTGACCCCGGGTATCATTTTACCCTTATAATGGTCAGTCTGTGCCTTACTTAGTCTAACGATCATTTGGAATAAATCGATGAATGTGAACTTCATTTCATTTTGTCATTTGTTTCTTCGTCAGTTTCATTAGGTGACTTTAATAACACTTAAAAATCAAATATCCCCTACTTTTTTTGAATAGTATATATATATATACATAGCCTATATAGGTCTAACAAATATATATATCTATAAAAGATATATTTAATACAAAAATCTATATTGCACACTTGCTATCAAAATGCTCTCAATGGAATAAAAATTATCAACTTAATTTCATTCAAATAAAACAGATTTTAAATAGAAGCTCTATTGACCTGGGCAATATATAAAAAAAAATAATGCACAGCTGTCAAAAATGTAGCATATAATAATAGAATGAATAAAAATCTACCTTATTGTATTCCGCCGGCCGGCAGATATCACATTTACAAGATCTATAATGCATGCATATACTATACTGATATATACAGTATTACAAACCAACACCGTGCGATTTCATCATCAGTTTTCTATATGCATGAAAAAAGAATGAACCGCCCGTGAAGAGCGTTGACCCTAGCCAAACTCTCTAATACAAACAAACACGGCCTAAATAGAACGCGAAAGTTTGGCATTCCAATTTTTTAGTCGAAAATTAAAAAAATATGTTGTATACTTACATTTATTTATCAAGCGGCAAAAATAGGAAACGTATCGCTATTGTAGGCCCTACAAGAGAAACAGTTCTCAGTGACAGCTCATCAGTCGCCTAAACTTTCCCACTTCCAAATCATGACTGACAAACGTGAACAATTCCGTTCTGTTCAACAATATTGTCTCGCATGGCTTGTGTCAACTTGTGACAAGTGAATAAAGACACTTTGCAGACGACTATTCAGTCACGTGACAGCTGATGCAATTTCTCCAGATGCTGTGAATTGAACACGAACGCTCACTAGAAAAGAATATACATATTTTTTCAAGGCTGCTAGACCAATTATTCACGCCCTTGCATTAAAAGGTTTGTGACTGCTTGACTTAAAATAAAATGGGGGGACCGCTTTGAATGTATGTATGGGGACTCATCTGGTTAAAGGGAATGAAATGAAATGGGGTTAAACGTTCTACTTTTCGGCACCTACTAGGCGATACGTCGGTCATAAGCCATGCAGTGTTCTATGAGGGGAGAAAGAGAAATGGGTTTAACGTCCACTCGACACAAATTAGGTCATTTCAGGACTAGCATATGGTTTAATTTTATTTCAATAATTCGCTTGCGCGTAGAGGTCTCTAGCAGTGGAAGGAAACCGGAGGACCCGGAGAAAACCCACGAGGTTGGACAGTCGACCTACCCCTTGTCACGTTCAATCGGGGAATCGAAACCACATATAAGCGTTCTTTTACGTGCCCAATTTGTGCAGAAAAGTAGGACGTTAAACACCATTTCATTTCATTTTTTCATTTTCATTTATTTCACAAATGCATTTGTGTCTAAGGTTTATCATTATGTGATTTCCATTCTCGGTCAAAAAAAACAACAAAAAACAACTAAACAACTCAGACTCGACTTTATATTTTTCCAAATATTTTTTAGTTATTTCTTTCATGGTTTGTTAACATCTTCATTCATTCTCTTGGCAACAATATATAGTTTTATTATATAGCAGATTCACTCAGCCATATAGCCTAAAATACATTATGGGAGATTCGATAACGAGTTAAATTGGCAGGTCTCACTATAATAATTTAAAACTAGATAATGTAAAGGCAATTTGCGGAAAATTTCAGTCAAATTGATCCACTATGAACCGAGAACTAAGCAATTGAAATTTCTGCCTAGCCTCGATCATCATTACTAAAGTCAGTACAATAAACGGCATAGTCTCGATTATCCATTTATGCAGTAAATCGGCTCATAATCCACTGAAGATCGCAGGCTAGCGATGTCATCTAGAGTTGATTATGGTCTGGATAAGTTAATTAATGTCTAATTAATAATTTAGATAACATAAAGAAAGACCTGCAATAGGCAGGTTTAGCTCTTTCATAATGCATGTTTAATAAAGGGAGAGAGAGAGAGAGGAATGGGGGTTAACGTCCACTCGACACAAACTAGGTCATTTCGGGACTAACATATGGTTTAATTTTATTTCAATAATTCGCGTAGGGGTCTTTAGCAGTGGGGGGGAAAGCGGATGACACTGAGAAAACCCACGAGGTTGGACAGGCGACCTTACTTCTTGTCAGGTACAACCGGGGATTCGAAACCACGTCAGTTGACTCAATGACAGGCCGTATGATACAGCGCGCACGTGCTAACCATTCGACTATCCACCCCCCCCCCCCGCCCTCGCTATAAAGGGGCCCGCCATGACCCGGTGACTATACGTGCGGAAATACTTTTTGGTAATAGTCTGTCATGCTGTTAGAACATGTGAATGGACACTACCAGACCGATTCGTGCATCCGCACCGCAATCACGGAGGAGATGCTGGCTTACTAGCTAGGAGTTTCCTGGTTCGACCCCGTGTTGGCTGGAGGCGTATTAAGCTACAGACAGTGTAGGCAGCCACCAGTTCTTTTCATTTTATAATTCACTCTGGGATCAGGTGTATATCAGTATTTCAAAACGTACAGGAAATTTCGTTTACACGTACAGGGGTCAGGTTTCGCACACGGCCCAGATGGTAGAGCTGCCCACGGTCTTTCGGAGCCTTGATCCGCCCCGTGTTGGCCGAGATAGCTGCTCGGGACTTTCAATCCCCTTGTCAATGGTGTAGTACGGGGGCCCGGGAACTAAACTTGTCTAATCGGACGAACAGCCGAGCTCCCGTATAAACCGTCGGCAGCACGTTTAAGATACCCTTGTGGTCTTAATTACCCCTAATGCTGCTGAAATTCGTGCAAAAATGAAAAAGGGGCGGGTGTGTGTGTGTGGGGGGGGGGGGTGTCGCGAGATGATTTAGGAGAAATGTCCAGGTCTACATGTACCCCTATTTTTTTTATAGTCCCTTATAACCATGGCGCCCGGTTAGATCTATTTCATAAGGTCACCTCCAGATTAAATCAAACGTCACGAGATGTAAACAGGGCTAGCGTTAACCCATCTTCAATAGAAGGCTTGATCTCGCTTTAACTCCGTACATCTATCAAGGCCTTCATGTCATACACCGCATATTTCGGCACTAATTTCGATTGAATACTGACCCTGCTTGAGATCTTATCAGATTCCTCGATCATCGCGAATACCAAGTATCAAGCTTTCCAGCTAAAATGTCTACCTGTGATAATCAAGTTGTAAAGTTCAAGGTTTCCGCGGATGTCGCCTTGTTTGATTTAAGTGTGTTTGTGTCACAACCTCTGATTGGACGCTACTGTTCACGTGTCTGTGGTAAAGAGGGGTAACGTAGCAACGTCTAGATGTTGTAAAACTCGCCGTCGTTGCTTCAGGAACATGGCGCTAACCCCAACCATAACCTTATTCACATCTCAGCGACCTTGACCAAATAGATCTAGCTATGACGCGATCAGCTTGGTATCCTACCATTCAGCCATCGAATAAATCACTGACGATAAAATTGGAATCAAAAATCTTTTTATGAGTAAAAATTGACCTGATTTGCGTGCAGATATAAACATCCGAAATGGTCACAGATTAAATCTCCAGGCATCTAGATTTAAAATATTTCAGGGCGAGACCCCCAGACCATAGCGTTATGGCACTTTCGGTGCTTCGCTTGCCGCTGTTCCGCCGTCAATGCAATCCACCTATCGGCCCCCCACCCCCACACTTTTTAAATCCTGGCTCCGCCACTGCTCTCCCCCCCCCCCCGCGCCAGGTAAAGCAATAAAGCAATAGTTGAGAACGGCTCGCTAGTCATTGGCTGGGGGGGGGGGGGGTCTGTTTGTCCATTTTGCTGCCCTAGCAAACAAATCTGTCCATTGTTTGTCTCTAACGCTGTCACATAAAAATATTGCCTCTCCGTTTGTCCCTATGTACATACTATTATCGTACTGGTTACATAAAAGTATTTTATAAGATCGGTGTGCGCCCTGCTCGATATGTTACATGTATTCGTCTATTCATAATTGATTGTCTTAGTTGTATACATACCAGTCCAGTAGGCCTTATATACAATTTTTTTTACGCTAATCACCATGGAAATAATTTTTCTGTATAAAACACGTTATTGTCGGCGATATCACTTCGGTAGAAGCGGACATTAAATAAATGTATTTCACACAAACACACACACACAGCTTACACGTCAGAGACATAATAGAATTAAAAATTTTATTCACTTCGAATATCTCGGAGAATAAAGGGGGGTAACTCTAGTAGTGAACATTTCGTCTTTTCCTGCCACAAAACCAACCGGTACACGTGGTATCTTTATGTTTTTTGATGCTGAGTTTCAAATCCAGACAAATCCTCTGTTGTTTAGTGGCATCGTCTTCTACAGTTACATGAGCCGTGTAGTCTCCCTGTAAATAAACGGGCATAGAGATTAAAGGGACATAACCCGCGTTGAATTATTGTCCAATGAAGCGGAATATGTTTACGGTGAAAAACTGTATTCCAGACATTTTGAGACTAATCGTCCAGGGGTGGATCCAGGGAGGGAGGCGGGGGTTCAGCTACATAAAAAATGGTAAAACAACACTTTATATTAAGAAAAGTGTTCCAGTCGTGTGCTTTATCCTTTTTATCATCAGATGGTGGGATGGGATTGACTTTCAAAGCACGAGATAATGTTATAGACATATGTGATATCACAATTAATGCTTTGCATCAATAAAATTGAATCACAATGTGATCCTATTAATTCATAACAAACATTGACGTCATACGGGGTGTTGGATTTCTCTTTTAAAAAGCTCAGTGTGTATGCATGACTACGTAATTTGGAGGCTATGGTGGCATTATGTATTGTCAGCAGTTAAATTTACTTAAAAGGAACCTGACAAACCCCCTTTTGCAAAAATCCCTTGACCCCTTCCGCCAGGCCTGGGTTAACCATTAAGCAGAAATAGCAATTGCTTAAGACCTCAAGGGCAGGGGGGACCCCACACTTTTTTGTCCTGTGCCAGGTTAACAGTGGACCAACTTAAAATTGTTGCAGCTGAACCCACAATAAATGGGGTAAAGATACATACATTATATAAAACAGCTAATAATGATAAAATATTGTAATAGTATTGAATCCCCGGTTGTACGTGTCAAGGAGTAGGGTCGTCTGTCCAACCTCGTGGGTTTTCTCCGGGTCCTCCGGTTTCCTCCCACTGCTAAAGACCCCTACGCGCAAGCGAATTATTGAAATAAAATTAAACCATATGTTAGTCCCGAAATGGCCTAGTTTGTGTCGAGTGGACGTTAAACCCCATCTCTCTCTCTCTCCCTCTCTCTCTCTCTCTCTCTCTCTCTCTCTCTCAGTATCTGCGTTAGTATCGCTTGCGAGGCACCATACTCTTTTTCAATGCCTAGGCCTCTAAAGGTCTTAATTCGACCTTTGGCCTGTTTCACGAAATTTTAACTAAGATAAAATCCAAATTTTAATAATTTGATTGGATAATATTAGATTGATTTTAGTGCTTAGACAATCAAAATTGAAGTATCAGCTAAAATTGGGATTTTTTCTTTAGTTAATATTTCGAGAAACAGGGCCCAGGGCAATAAATCTCTCCACATTCAAACAATGTGTTGGCGTGCAACGCTCGTTATAAAATGAAACCGTACCTCGGCGAAGAAGGTGAGGATAGCTGGAATCGGGGGAAGTTTTAGGTTGTAGTTTTGAATGCCGATAGATCTAGGAGTCACACCACAGAATGAAGTGATACCAATAGACTGTAACATTTGTTTAACCTGTGTTCCAATACCGCCCATTATACCAGCCCAATTCTCCTTCTCCATTCTGTCCAACAGGGTACATGTATCCTGGTATTCACTGAATTATTTTTAAAAAAATAATAACAATAACATTATGTAAGATTTAGATATAAAGAGCCGGCGTTCTCGCGCTTTTGATTAAAACACATATCTTATTTCGTTTCGTTTCTGGGTGATGTGAGGGATTAGCTAAAATAATTCAAAATTAGATAAAATATTAGTCAAAATTACTTTATCCTGAGCGGAGTTTGAAGTTTTGACAACATAGTCTCGACTGTCAAGTACAGTACCATTGCTACGATAACAAACAAAGTCTCGATTATCCGTTTTAACGTTAAATTGTTAAATGGTGCGAGTGTTCTAATCCATTCAGTATCACGGCCATGGTCTAGAGAATTGATTATTGAATAGTCATTTGAAGCCAAAAAAGACCTGCAGTAGACAGAATTGGCTCTTACACAATGCATCTTGTGTTGACTAGATCGGTTCATATTTAGATTGTTAGAATATCCGAGATAAATCTGCCACCCCGTCGTCGCTGATATACTATTCGAAATCACCATTGTCCGGACAAAGGTCTGTGCATCGAATTCCTACGAATATTTGTATACCGGTTTTTGGTATTATACATCATATTGTACGTGTTCTCTGTGGAACTGACAAGAAGGACCTGGGGATAAATAATCTAGAAGCTTCTTTTCAGCCCACGCCAGAATTATCTACTCTTAACCTGGCACGATTCTGGGAATTATCTACTCTAACCCTAGCACGATTCTGGGAATTATCTACTCTAAGCCTAGCACGATTCTGGGAATTATCTACTCTAAGCCTTGTACGATTCTGGGAATTTTGCGACATTTTGCAACACAGTAGCTCGACGGGTTGTATAAAATATCCGTCCACGTCCCTCTAACCACATGGTCCCACGTCGACATTGAGAGATTTGATGACCCTATCCCTTGGTCCACATCCTGAACTCTGGGTTTCGGAGGAAGATACCTAAATAGCACAGTCTACTCCATCCACAGCTCGAAAATTAATAAATAATTCAAAGACACATATAAATAAACGATTTACCAAGATCCAACGTGGAAGAGACAGGGTATAGTGACGTCACCAATAAAAGTATGACGTTTAACAGAAACCTTTAGATTGGCTCGGTTGATGTCTATCTTGGCAACAGCATCAATGGTCAAACTCAGATTACCGGGTACTTCGATTGGCATCGGAGATATCGCTACATTGTTCAAGACAATGGCATTTGTATCCGTACCTTCAAAAGAAAGAGACTATTAAATGTTTGGTTGGGGGTTTTTTTGCGTACCCCGTGGCGTGAACATGGGGACATTGGTGGGCATACCCCACCTCTTCCCAACCCGGGTCGATAAAAGCCCAGGATTAATTGTTAATGTACTGCCCTACTCCCAGTGGACATGGGGACATTTGTGGGTATACCCCACCTCTTCCCAACCTGGGTCGATAAAAGTACAGGGTTAATTTACCGCCCCACTCCCATTTGGAAACCCCGTGGCGTGGCGTTGATAACTGGGGGTGAGCATGGGGGGTATTTTTGTGGAAACCCAACACAAGATTAATTTACAGCCCCACCCCCAGATAGTCACATACTATGTAAATGCTTTTGTGTTAGGGAAGTCAACATAAGGTAAATTGTGGTTTTAATTCACAGTCATCATCTATCTATTTGTCACACATTAATTATGCAGAGAAAACCGGTCGGCCTATCCCAAGCTTTGCATATATGGCAGTAAGGGAGGGAGGGATAAATGGGATTTAACGTCCACTCGACGCAAACTAGATCATTTCGGGACTAACACATGGTTCAATTTTATTTCAATAATCGGCTTGCGCGTAGGGTTCTTTAGCAGTGGGAGGAAACCGGACAACCCGTTGGAAACCCCTGAGGTTTGATAGACGAACCTACTGCTTGTCACGTACAAGCGGGGAATCGAAACCACGCCACTTGACTCAATGACAAACTTTCTGATCCAACGCGCACGCGTTAACCATTCGGCCACCCAACCCCTTATATGGTAGTAAACCATGCTGTGCCCATTACAGTAAATTAAATAATCAAAATTGGTGCCGATTTCCAAATAGAATTACTTCCAATCTGTTTGTGATTAATTATTGATTACCTACCACAGTCGGTCCATTCTAGTTTAGTATGCTCTCCATCGATACCAATAACTACTAGCACCAAGGCAGCAACGACTGTCTGTAGAGGTGCCATATTTACACAAGAACAGTAGAACTTGAAACGTAGCCGGACGGTTTGTTAATCCAAAGGTCAATAACTGTGTTATCTATATAGATTATAATATCGTGACCTGCAGGCTTATCTTGTCTATATATATTATGCAAGTTCCGTTCTAAGTTAAAGGTGACATGCATCTTATTATGAACAGTGCAAATCCGGGGTGTATCCAGAGAGGAAGGGTAGGAGTGTTTGGAGGGTAGGGGGCAACCCTCCCCAGCTTTTTTTCTCCTACATTCATGAAATAACGTCATACAGACGTGGGTCCAGTTTGGCCTCTCACTTCAATATAATATACATTATGCACTGAAGTGAGCAAACATATTGTCTCAGAGCTTCAGATGTTATAAAAATCTCGAGTAATACCCTATATAGACCTCACGCCAAGCTTAACCGTTGTCTCCACCCTGGACCCCTCGCTGCTCAAATTCCGGAAGACGCCCCTACAAATGCTGCATACTCACGGACTTGTCAAAGTCCATAAACAGGTTATCTATGTTTAAAATATATAACATGACACACTGACATCCAATTCACCGATATGTTCTTGTCAAAACTTGTTGACATTAAAAACATGATTTTAATATTTTCTGTTTCAAATACCAGAGAATGTCGAAAGACTGCGGTTTGCTTGGCGAATGTAATTCCTCCATTGTCTGGGCACTAGAGACACAGCGAGGGTGTACTTTTTCATTACAATAATGCGCTTGCGCGCAGGGATCTTAAGCACTGGGTGGAGGGGGGGGGGGCGGAGAAAACCGTCTCGTTTCCAATTATTAATTGAATTGAACACTTGGTTTTAACATATTGTATTAACAGGACTGGACAAAATGTACATCAATTTACAAAAAAAAATCCCTTCCTTCATAAGCACATGGAAATATTAAAGATAACGAATATAATCAAACACATCAAGTAATATGTAGTGACCTTTGATTGTGGTGTCAATTTTATGACATGAACTTTGGCCATTTTGAACCATCTTTAAAGATTAAATCTTATATTTAGATCTCAATGAGTCCATCGTTCGATCCATTCAATAATACTTTTAGTTTTGAAGTTATGTTAAAACAATGAGTAAACGCAGATACAACGAATACGTTTCTTCTTAAAGTTGCAATTTCATATTTTTAAGTTATATTTTTAAAATTCATTAAAATAAAGCCTTAAAATAGATGGTATCTATAAACAGTCCTAACTCGTTAAAGAATAATCCTATTAATCCTATAATCCTATAATGGTGTAGAATAGAAAACAAGGGAGGTAATTGTGTTATTATTTGGGGTGTAAATGAGTTTTAAGTGTGAGAATGGCACCTATGATCGTATAATAGTGAGTTGACAACCTATTAAGCAAAAGACATAGAAATAATTATGTTTTGACTTTCTTAGAAAATATGAAATTGTAACTTTAACAATCGGGAGTATCGTGTATCCGCATATAAAACATAGAAGCGGGCCGTTAAATAGAGCTATTTCACACACACATACACACACACACACACATAGAGCAAAGCGAATTTCATTCTTGGCAGTTTCATTTTAAAAAAGGGCAGTCGTTAATAAAAAAAAAATGGATTTCTTCATAATACTGAATTTGACCTTGAGACGGTTACGTTTAAGGGAATCCCCACTGCTGACGTTTACGTTAAGGTTAAGAGAGTAACCCTGATAAAGCATACACAGAGCTTTAATAATGATAAAATAAGTAGATCATAGTATTATGGAATAGTATATATAGTGCCGATAAACAGCTGTCAGCTAAAACCTATGGAACGTTTCCGCACCGTGATTGGTATTGTCTCTGGCTTTGATGATTGTTTAAACATTCCGCTAAAACTTTGGAAGGGTTATCTTCTCAGATCAACGATGCGTGTCTAATTCATTTATAGTAGGACGTGTGTCTAGTTTGGGAGTCTGAACAATGCTGGAAGCATCAAGACAATGAAATGGACCCAACCGCCAGTAGAACTCTCTCGGGAAAAGATACATGCCAAAGATAAAGCTGTCAAAATTGAACATAAAACATGGCAAAAACATACCTGCCATGGTAGCTTTTGAGAGAGGGGTTTTAAAGAAAACATATGATAGAGGTAGTTTAATTTAGACGTTTCAATATGCTACAGCAAAATAAACAATGAAATTATATCACAATGATTTAACAAGTTATTTTTACAAGTTTCTGCATTTGGCACAAATAATCATCTACAATAAACCTATTTACAATAATATAGAGGGTTATAATTATCTACAATATACCTATTTACAATAATATAGAGGGTTATAATTATCTACAATATACCTATTTACAATAATATAGAGGGTTATAATCATCTACAATAAACCTATTTACAATAATATAGAGGGTTATAATTAACAACAATATACCTATTTACAATAATATAGAGAGTTATAATTATCTACAATATACCTATTTACAATAATAAATAATAAAGGGGGTTATAATTAACACAATCAGGAGCCGTAGTGGACATGCGACAAGTTGATTTGTATCATATCTGAACCAGAGTAAATGTTAGACACTGTTCTACTTCTTCTATTAGTGTTTAACGTCCGCATCCACCAAGGGTGATATCGCAGACAAGTTGTCTTATTTTCATTAGCTTAAAGGGGAAGGTAAGATTAGATAAAAATCTGACAGTTCTCGTTATAATAATCTATAATAGTTAAAAATTAGATAACGAAAACAAAATATGCTGAAAATTGCTTCACTCTGAACCGAGATATTAGTTATTGAATTTTAGGCTAGTCTCGGTCGACATTATTGAAGTTGGTATGATGACAATCAAAGACTCTATTATCCATTTTTACGTTAAATTATCCATCAAAAAATGTATTCAAATCCAGTAAATATCGCAGACTAACTATGACATCGAGAGTTGATTGTGGTCTGGATAAGTTAATTAATGTCCAATTAATAATTTAGATAACATTTCAGACTGAAAGTAAGGCAGATTTAGCTCTTGCATACAGTTGGGAGGAAACTGGAGTACCCGGAATAAACCCACAAGGTTGGGAAGGCGCCTCTGTCTCCAAGTCACATACGCTCGAAACCACGACCGCAAGCCAGCGGTGACCGACCAGTTAGAGCTCGAACCACGACTCTCTTTCAAATCCATTTGACGAGCTCCTTTCTCAACCGTTTCACCGAATTATCTATTTACCGTACATTTCAGAGAGAGAGAGAGAGAGAGAGAGTGTGAGAGAGAGAGAGAGAGAGAGAGAGAGAGAGAGATGGGGTTTAACGTCTACTCGACACAAACTAGGTAATTTCTGGACTAACATATTGTTCAATTTTATTTCAATAATTCGCTTGCCCTTCAGGGGATTTAGCAGTGGTACTAAATATCTAGAAGGCCTTGCGAGCTCTCCCTTTGAAATAGAGAGGTCTATTTTCCAACCAGACGTCCTGAACATGCGAATCTAGATCTCCATTGTTTGCCACGTGTGCTGAAATGTGGTATAGTTATTGACAAAAATCGGTGTTATGTCAGCCATTTTGGATTTTCAAATATTGATCAGCTGAAGACCGTTATCTTGATCCAGGAACCACGCCGTGTTATGTGGGGCCACGCCTCTTCCAAAAACACACAACCAGGCAAATTTCCACTCAGTCGTCTGGAATATTCAAATCTTGATCAAGGGGAAATAATCCAAAGGGTCGAAGATGATACAAATAATACTCTATCCCGTACATGAAGAATGACGTCATACCGCTGATTGTTATAGTATACACACTCATAGATTCTTTTCCCTGTAAGAATACGAATTTATGAATTAGATAGGAAAATTGGAAAATAAAACACCTGAAATTATGAACACAAACATTTAGGCCGGTTGGGTAGGAGATGGGGTCAGTTGGGAAGAAGACTGTGCGGGTTGGTGGAGGAGATCAGACCCGACCAGGTTTGGAAGAAAATCAAATCGGTTGGAGAGGAGATCAGGTGAGTTGGAGAGGCAATCAGGTAGGTTTGATTGGGGGCGGGGAGACCAGAGCCGGTCGGAAAGGAGATGAGATCGGTTGGAGAGGAGATCAGATCGGATTTGGTTGGGGCGGGGAGATCAGAGCCGGTCGGAAAGGGGATGAGATCGGTTGGAGAGGCGATCAGGTAGGTTGGGTTGGGGGCGGGGAGATCAGAGCCGGTCGGAGAGGAGATCAGGTGAGTTGGAAAGGAGAACAGATCGGTTGGAGAGGCGATCTGGTAGGTTGGGTTGGGGGCGGGGAGATCAGAGCCGGTTGGAAAGGAGATGAGATCGGTTGGAAAGGAGATCAGATCGGATCTGAAGGGGATGGACTAGATTAGGGAGAAGATCTGGCCGATTGGAAACATGACCAGGTGGGTTGGAAAGGAGATAAGATCGGTTAGAGAGAAGATCAGGCCGGTGAGGAACATGACCAGGTGGGTTGGGGAGAAGATAAAACAGGTTATGAGCGGGATCACATCGGTTGAGAAGGAAGTCAGGTGTGTGGCGAAGGAGATCAGGTCGATTGGGAAGGAGATCTGATGGGGGTGAGCGGTGTAGAGGACACCAGATCTGCCGGGAAGGCGATCAGCCAGGTCCGTGGTTATGACTAATTTCCTTCCGTCAAAATTTATGTCTAGGTTAGAGTCATGAGTATTTAATTGGGCGAATCAAGGTTCACGTGTGTATCTTTATATTAAAATATTTTACATTTCACCCATTAATCAGTTTTCCCTGAATTGATGAAATTATGGCGAACATGTTCAAACATTTAAAATTAAAAGAAACAAAGTATTTGAAATTTCATCCCTCCTGTTGTTGTCATTTTCTGTATAAAATTGGTGAATTATTATCTTTAACAAGATTACTGTTGAGTAATGAGAGTTTATTGTCATGTTACCTTTTTCAACCCCTCTTGATCTTGTAGCAGAAACCAGTGGGACTGTGATCCTTGCATCTGAACTGACGGAGCAAAACTGAGAAAACGACTACGTCCTAATGAATCGGTCGAGTTCCCTAAAAAGACACCAGTTTTATTGAAACAGGCACCCAACTGTTTTTCTCCAGCCGGAATCATTTGATTACACTCAGTTTTGTAAAGACTGTTTTTGTCAAAGAGTTCGAGTCCCGCGTGGCTTAGAACACAACCAACTCGAGCATCCACAAATTCCACAGTACCGTCCTCGAGAATAAGTCTGTGACCATAATATGCAGGTTTTTTCGAATTTTTTCCCGTCAAAAACAATCGCAAATTCTCCATACACACATACGTCTCGTCGAATGTCCCAAAGAACCAATCGGCATCATCCTTATAATGTTTGTATACATAGCGATAGGCCATGATGTAACGCGACGTGCTATAGGCCACGCCTGCTTTTGATAAATCTATAGTTCTGACTTTGGCAAAATGTCTGTCGGTGAATATGAGAACTTTGTCACATTTTCTACCCCAAGTTTTGTGGATCGCCTGAGTTTGATTTTGAATATCCCGTCCTGAACACCAAACCCAACACAAAACACGAATTTTCTTCCTCAGATTCCAGGCTACTGTACGATTATCTGAAAGAATAGCAATAACAGTTATAGGTTAATAGAAATGAACATAAATGGGTATTTGATTGTCACGAATCCCAATCTAGACTCCGTGTCTGGTTCGAGTCACAGACAGACGTATTTACGAGTTTTAATTTCGTAGAAAATTGTCATGAACACTTATTGACTTGTCGATGAACACTGCTTTGAATCCGATTTCACAACACCGGACCGATTCGTGAATCTGCACGAATCCCGTTTAAAACGGGAGCCGAGCTAGTTCCTTTAGATTGTCGGATTTTCAAGTGTTTAAAACGGGAGCCGATCCAATTCCTTTAGATTGTTAAGCCCGGTTTGCTCTTATCACTTAGGAAGAAAAATAACAGTAGACCGTAGCACCACAGCCCGGGCACAATTGTCCCCATAGCACACTGCATGGAGTCTGCCCGTCTTCCCTAGTACTGTCGGCGCTTAAAAGTAGGACGATAAACCACGTTTCATTTCTTTATGAAACAAACACACAGGATTCTAAATCTGGAAAATATTGTGATTCGGGGTCTCCGAGTCATTTGATAATACGTTTCTGAGAACGCTCTAAAGAAGCGGACTTGAAAACTGTAACAAATTTGGAAAAACAAACCCATATTTAGCTTCCATATTTTAGAGGCCCTTTCAGCATCCAACAGTTTCCATGACGAAATGGCCCAAATTCAAATCCAGAAAAGTAGTAATTTAAACCCGATTCATTTCATTTCGTTTGTTCTCTTGTATTAGGGTGGCAATATTGTTAATCTATAATAATATGTGTCGGTATGTCTTTTCAGGGATGGAGGCTACACTAGAGCTGTCCTGGAGCTGCAATTTGGTGTATAGAGGTACCTCGGACCGGGGAGTAAAATAGGCCTGGTTTCGAAGTTAAGCTACTTTCCATTCATGTCTATTCTGGTAATTTATAAAAACCAACCACGACCATTCTTGGAAGTGAGTTAAATCTTGCTATATTCTGGTCATCTGCAAACCTATTGAATCTTACAAATAACCTTAAATAGATAGGCTACTAAAATAACCTTTGCGGACTATGGTACTGCTGAAGCCTGTTGTGGCCAATTTATAATCGAGATTGCGAAATGGTCGCAACATGCTTCCATAGTTTACAATAAGTGACGTTAAAGAGTGATAAACAATTGACATTATTCAACAAGATTTTAATGGTATTTCTAAATTAATCAGCATATTTAATAATTACATTAAAATTAAACAACAATTTATGACGACAAATTATATTGGTTTACAAACAATTACGACCATTTTAAAATAAAAGTAGAGTCTGTACTTAAGTTAAGAATTTACTCAACTTTCAAACACTGTTTAAGAGAATCCTCCTTAATCCAGAAACACAAAACTTTGCACATAGTTTTGTATTGATATATTTGATACATTAAAACAACAAAAGGCCTGGCTATAATTTAGTTAAAATAAGGCAAACAATTTTGATTAAATTCGTAACTTAAGTCTGGGAATGCTTTTTGAACCTGGGGCCAGCTGCACCTGATGGACTTGAATCGAGTTATATAAATATATATATATATATATATATATATATATGTTAAAACTATGAATAAAACATGTAGACTGGTCTGAGGTAAAATGATAAATGATAAATCAATAAGCTCGCTGGTATGACCGACTTGAAGTCACATAGACATAACTGTATTCGATTAACACATAACAATTTGAAATGAAGACAATATTTTGACATTATGTCAATAGTCATAATGGACGGAGGAATTCGGAAATTTAAGGAAATCGGACTGAATCAATAATTCTACTTTGTAACACGTTGTTCGACGTGCGAGCTTCTAAAATGACAGAGCATTGGTATAACAGTTCTACAAATAAAATGGGATTTAACCCCAACCCTAACCCTAACCCTAACTTAACGGTACGCCAGACAGTATGCTGTGAGTACATTTTGCCCGGAAAGCGGTGATGCTTCCTCTTGCTCCAATTGCTTCATTTAGGCACAGTCCAAAGAGTACACCTTTTCCTATTCCGGCATTCCGTCCTGCACCAGACTCAAAAACAATGTCATTTCGGGACTAACATTTGGGGGAGGCAAGTACCCTTGTCACGTACACATGAGGGATTAATACCACCCCCCTTGAACCAATGACAGATTTTATCATGTAAGTATACTCTGCTTGGCGCACAATTTTTATTTTGCCGACCCGCAGGTCGAACAACGTGTTACAAAAGCCCGTGTGATTTTAAGTTTGCTTGTTATTGTGTGTGATGTGACCTCCCGTGTAATTTTGAGTTTGCTTGTCATTGAGTGTGATGTGACCTCCTGTGTAATTTTAAGTTTGCTTGTTATTGAGTGTGATGTGACCTCCTGTGTTATTTTAAGTTTGCTTGTTATTGAGTGTGATGTGACCTCCTGTGTAATTTTGAGTTTGCTTGTCATTGAGTGTGATGTGACCTCCTGTGTAATTTTAAGTTTGTTTATTATTGAGTGTGATGTGACCTCCTGTGTAATTTTGAGTTTGCTTGTTATTGAGTGTGATGTGACCTCCTGTGTAATTTTAAGTTTGTTTATTATTGAGTGTGATGTGACCTCCTGTGTAATTTTAAGTTTGTTTATTATTGAGTGTGATGTGACCTCCTGTGTAATTTTAAGTTTGTTTATTATTGAGTGTGATGTGACCGCCTGTGTAATTTTAAGTTTGTTTATTATTGAGTGTGATGTGACCCCTGTGTAATTTTATGTTTACTTGTTATTGCGTGTGATGTGACCTCCTGTGTAATTTTAAGTTTGTTTGTTATTGCGTGTGATGTGACCTCCTGTGTGATTTTAAGTGTGTTTATTATTGAGTGTGATGGGGGTGTCGGTTGCAAAATCAGTGCAGTCGGTCGCAAAATAAGAGCAGTCGGTATCAAAATAAGTGCTCACTGCACACGTCACGCTACTCACCCAAAACTTTAGTATAAAATAACTTTGTGAGTATGTAGGTCCAGGGAGAAAAATAGTCGGTCTCAAAATAAGTGCAGTCACTGCAGTCGGTCTCAAAATAAAGCAACGCCGTCTTAATGAATAAATGAGGTAAACAAATAATGCCAGAATAGATCCCAAATACTAGTCGGTCGCAAAATCAATGCAGTCGGTCGTAAGATTTGAGCAGTCGGTATCAAAATAAGTGCTCACTGCACACGTCACGCTACTCACGCAAAACTTTAGTATAAAATAACCTTGTCAACTTATCATGTTTGAAAAAAATGTTTTTCACCCCATGGCAAAAAAATATTCGGTCTCAAAAAAAAAGTGCTCACCGCAGTCGGTCTCAGACTAAATGAATTAATGGGGTGTTGTCTGACCACCAGAATTCTGCAAAATCTCTCCCCAAAGTCCAGGGCATTTCAGAGACCAAGTAAGTGCCCAATTGAGGTAAAGTGCCCTCAGGCCCAGTCCTCAAAAATTAAAAGCTCAGTTACATATCTGCGCTCAGTTCCATTATGCCATCATTCTTCAACTCCTTCTCTGTCTTATACTATCTCATCACTATCATATTCACAGTTACAGTGAATCGCCCAGTTAGTAGTACCACTAGTGAGTGAGTCGTGGGTCAAAAGACTGTAGAATTGTTAGTTCTACTCTCACAACACAGGCGACATTGACAGATAGGCCTCAAGATTCTGTCCCATTTCTTATCCTCTCATTAACGAGGATTCATTTGCCATGACATTGACTAAAATTGTCAGGCCCAGTCCCAAAAATTAAAAGCTCGGTTACACATCTGAAATTTTTTCGAGCCTACGGCGCTCGATTCCATTATAACATCATTCTTCCACTTCTTTCTTTGTTGTCTTATACTGTCTCAGCACTATCATATTCACGGTTAAAGTGTAATGTTCAGTTATATTAGTAGTACCACTGGTGTCTGGGTCGTGGGGCGTCAGACTATACAAAAGTTCTGTCAACTCTTGCAAAACAGGCGGAATTGACAGGGGCAGATCTCGAGATTTTGTCTAATTGATTCACATTTCTGGTCCTCTCGTCCACAAGAATTTCTCCCAGCAATGACCTCAAATGCCAAGATATTGACTCAATTTTTCAAAATTTTCTCAGGTTGCTCAGTGTTATAGGCACAATCATATATGACATAAACTTTATGTCAACTTAAATAAAACTGCTTTCCGGCGAGACAACGATCGGCAAACTATATAATTATACAATATCATCTATGTTCTACCGGGACACTTAATGTTATAGCCAGTATTTTGTTGACATTCATTGTGGGGTAGGATTGTGGCTAGGGTGGCGCCCTAGATTTGCCCCCCACCCCTATCTAGATCCGCTACTGCACATGGCCCCTACAAAACTCGCACCTGTGGTGCTCGGCTCCTGACTGCGTCACTCGTACTAGGGGTATGGGAATCAGTCGGTCGCATTTTGGCTAAACACCCCCCAAACAAAATCGTTATGTACGCCCCTGCTCCTGTGTGATTGACATATTGTTTGCTACAAGGACGTATGGGGATTACCAGCAACACAATCTATAATCCTCACATTTGATTATTGTATATTTGTATTTGAATTATTCTTACAATAAAACATAATCCGGTATTCATGTTTTATCAGGTACATATGTTATATATAGCCCAAGCTGTTCCTTTTAATAAGTTTTTTTTTCGATTTTCTTGTTCACTTAAACTAGTCGTTCGTTTCCTGAAAATATGTAGCAAATAAACTTCAAAAGACATTTAGATATAAAAGTTTAAATTTTGAAAATAAATAATGAAAAATATTGAAAATTTCATTCAAATAACTTGAATGTTTGAAGTTTTGATAAGAAATAGTGTAAATAGTCTAGATTGCCAAATACCATTGCTACGATAATAAACAAAGTCTTGATTATCCATTTTAACATTTTATATCACTTTATATCATAGCCATCCGAATGTCTAGAGTGTTCATTATTGGTTTGCGATGTGAATTAATATCTATATCATAATTTAAATAACATTTGATGCCAAAAGCAAGACCTGCAGTAGTCCAAACTGCAAAACTTTAACGTCCTACACTCTTCTCACCGACTGGGTCAGTGTGCTATCAGTGAACTTTTGTTCAAACAGTGGAATTTCCGCCTGAACTTCATTGATTTCTGACTATCAATGGTTATTTTACGTTTACGTCAAGATGTACACAGGGTCTTGGTTTTACGTCCCATCCAAACGAATGAAATTTCGAATGAAATAAACACCTCTGAAATTATTGACAGTGTTAATAATCAAAGTTTTGACATTCATTCCGTTCCGTTATAGATATACGTAATCATCCTAACATCTTTTCCGACGTGGTTTCCCCCTTGTCATTGGTGCAGGACGGAGGGCCTGAAAAGGACAGCTGTCTAGTCATTCGGATGGGACGAAAAACCGAGGTCCCGTGTATACGTTGGCGTGTACATAAAAGATCCCTTGGCAGTTGGAATTCGATATAAGAGTAGACCATAGTGCCGCTGCCCGGGCAAAATTTCCCTCATAGCACACGGTATAGCGTAAGCTCCTCTTCATTAACCAGCCAGAGCAGAACAGTAGGAGGTTAAACCCCATTTCAATTCAATTCAATTTTAATATCACAGGAATAGATATCTCTTTTGAAATTATTCATAATCAAAGAACCGTAAAATTTGACATTGATTCCGTTCTATTTATATTTAAATATCAGTAAGACTTCACATATAGGAATATTGATAATATACGACTGATTAACTTTTCTGACGTCACAAAACTGTCACATTCCTTCCTATGTGTCAATACATTGGCAAGTTTGACGGACAGATCGTCTGTAGCAGGTTTCTATTACAATAATAACACACAACATTTAACATGGTGATATATGTGTTATTTAAACAGTTTACAATAACTCAAGGTCGACATGACTGAATTACAATTAGTGAGAGTAAGAGAGAGAGAGAGAGAGAGAGAGAGGGGGGGGTGGTGTTAACGTCAACTCGACACAAACTAGGTCATTTCGGGACTAACAATTTTATTTCAATAATTCGCTTGAAAAAAACACGAGGTTGGACAGGTACGCTACTCCTTGTCACGTACAACCGGGGAATCGAAACCACGTCAGCTGACTCAATGATAAAACGCACACGCGCTAACCATGTAATTAAGGTGGCCAGTTAGCTAATAAATATCCACGTTACACATAATAATGTATACATAGAAAAATGAAAGGAAAGAAAGTTTCCGGGAAAGCGACGTTTCTAACTAATGAATTTAATTTTTTAACTACCGAAGATTCTTGGAACTTGGAGACATTTTGCCTGGAGACATTTCCTTGCCACCCTTGACAGTATATAAGGAATGGGCTGGATAATGTTAATTAAGATATTTATAAAATCAGAAAGATATCTGGAAAATGTTAATAAAGTTCGATCTGTACCTACTTCACGCACCTGCTTCAACATCAATCAACCGTTCTTTTATTTATCATTGATTTTCTACACACCATCTCACCATTAATTTTCCAATAATTTAAAATAAACTTTCGGATATTCCTCCTTCGAATGCTTTCTGTTTGTGGTGTAGTACGGGAGGGGGGGGGCAAGGAAAAGTCAGCTAGTCTTTCGTATTGGCATAAAATCGAAATAAAAGTAGGCCGTAGCGCAGCTGCTACGAAAACATTTCCTCCATGGCACAATGACATATGCTCGGCGGTCCAAGGACAGCTATGTTTAGCCGGTACATCAATACGGGACCCATCAGGCCCATAAATATCTATTTGATATTTTTTTACCTCGATATTCATATATGAATTGAAATGCAATATACTTCAGTGCGAGTAAAGATATTTCAATAATTAAGAAAAAAAAATGTTGAACATAAATGTATTTGCCCGAAGTACTGGATTTCAGACGTCGGAGCTACAGGGTTTAAGACAACCTCGGAGTTATTGTTATTTCCCCAGCAGTTTCACCACCCAGTGGATTGAATATAAATTTCATAGATAACTTCGGGATCATGAATAGTTCACCAACAGTTCAACATAAATTTCCGACGTCGGAGCTCGGGGTTACTGATAGTTCACCAGCAGTTTCACTACCCAGTGGTTTGAATATAAATATTTTAGACAACCTCGGGCCCATGGATAGTTGACCAGCAGTGTCGCCATCCAATGGACTGGATATAAGTTTTACAGGTAATTACGGGGTCATGAATAGTTCACCAACAGTTTCACCGCCCAGTGGATTGAATTTAAATGTTTTAGACAACTTTGGGTCCATAGACAGGTCAACAGCAGTATAACCGCCAAATGGATAGCTTCGGGGCCATGGATAATTCACCAGCAGTGTCGCCACCCAAAGAATTATTAAATATAAATATTTTAGACAACATCAGGGTCATGGATAGTTCAACATCAGTGCCACCTCCCAGGGAATTAAATATGAATGTTTTAGACAACCTCGGGCCCATGGATAGTTGACCAGCAGTGTCGCCATCCAATGGACTGGATATAAGTTTTACAGGTAATTACGGGGTCATGGATAGTTCAACATCAGTGTCATCTCCCAAGGAATTAAATATAAATGTTTTAGACAACCTTGAGGTCATGGTTAGTTCACTAGTTGCAAATGTTTTAAACAACATCGGGGTCATGGATAGTTCAACATCAATGTTACCTCCCTGTAGTTTAAATATGAATGCTTTAAACAACCTTGGGGTCATGGATAATTCACTAGTAGTTGCAAATGTAAAGTTGGAACAGTGATTATAGAACAGTAAGAAGAGCCTGTCCCAGTAACAACATCCGAAAGCTGAGCTTGGATTGCAGGAGTTTTAAATGAGATGGGGTTTACCGCCCTACTTTTCTAATCAACCGACCTAATAAAGACGTGCTATTCCAGGACAGCGGCGGTCTGACCTATTCTTGATTCCAATGTCAACTGCCAGGGGATCTCTTTGTTCTGTCAATTCTATGTACAGGAACGCACTATTTCCCCCCACGCGAATGATTAGAGAGAGAGAGAGAGAGAGAGAGAGAGAGAGAGAGAGAGAGAGAGAGTGCACACAACCTGACACAAACTAGGTCATTTCTGGACTAACACATAGTTCAACGCGAATGATGAGAGAGAGAGAGAGAGAGAGAGAGAGAGAGAGGGTGCACACAACCTGACACAAACTAGGTCATTTCTGGACTAACACATAGTTCGCTTGCGCTTTAGTAGTGTGAGGAAATCGGAGGACCCGGAGAAACCCCACGAGGTTAGACAGGCGACCCTACTCATTGTCATGTACAACCGGGGATTCGAAACTACACCAGTTGATTCAATGACAGACCGTATAATACAGCGCACACGTGCTAACAATCGGCCATCCACCCCCACAAATGATTAGACCCTGGTCGGTGAAAGACTGTCACCATTGACAAGCGGACAAAGGCTGAAGAATCTAGAGGTACATTCTCGGCAAACGCAGGGAACGCACTGAGACCTCCAGGTTAGTGAGCCAGCGCTGTACTCGGCGAGCCAAAGTCGCCTTCAATAACCCCTGGACCACGACTCCTGCCCCCGAGTTCACAAAGCATCCCCAGACTTTACTCAAAATTGTCCACCTTATTTTAACTAAAGTATAGCCCCTTTTAAAACATTTGTATATTTAAAGTATCAAATACATCAATAAGAAACTATGTGCACAGTTTTGTTCATTTGGATCTAGGATAATATCTCATAAATAGTGATTAAAATATTTGCTTACCACCACTGTACAAATATCCACTAAGTACACTTTCATCTCGAGACCGGGAAATCCTCTCGGTAACTGGTTGAATTTCTTCTCTGTGGTTTTGCAGAACACCCCGAACCCGGAAAACCCCTTCCGTTTCTTTGAGTTGGTGATGCTGGTTGATGAATCTGCCAGATGTTGTGTGTCTCATGCTGCTCAGTACCAATGCTATGCTCGTGCCAATGATGACACCAAAGAGCAAGCTGAGAAATTTAAACGGTAGTAGATTTCTCTGGGTAAGCATAACCTATTTTCTTTAAGAACTTTTATAAATAAATATTGTCATTTTACCAAAACATATTGATAATCAAACGGATGTTGTCTATTCTGTAACAAAAAAATAACAACGATGAGGTTATCTTAATGTTGATAAGTTTAGACGCTAGATTTCTCTGAGTAAGGGTAACTGTGTTTCTTCAATAAATGATAATAACTAATTTAGTCACTTTCTGAAATCTTTTCCTCCATTATTATCAATATAAATGGAAATTAAAAAGTTGGTTATTCTGATAGAAAAGGTTGATTTTATTTTATTATCTGCTCCGACTTGTTGAAAATGACATTCAAATTTAAAAGTTGGATATTCTGAATAAAACGTTGATTTGTTCATCTGTTCCGTCTGAAATTGTTACATCTTCGATTTGTTACATATTCCATAAGCAGTTTCTTATCTGTTCGTCAGCGATAATGAAATTATGAAAAGCTATCTGTATCCATTCTTCCATAAACAGAACGAGTTACCGGTCCTAGCCAAATACAATAGCTAACTGGATACTCTGTCGAGACAGCATTTTATTTTATAGTAAAATTAACCACATGTTTTTCCTGTTATTGAATCTAAAATTGGTCTTGATTCGTTGGAGACTTTATTACAAATATGCGCAGACCTTTCCCAGGTTCCTATTATCATAAAAACAATATGTATCGCCATATGTCGACCTCGGACGTCATCCATGCTTGTTTGGTCGATGTTTCAGAAACGAAATGTATCAATACATACAGCCTATATTGTTGGTTCAATAAACCGATAACCATATATAGATCTCATTATTATACAGTGTTGTTTACCATATGTGTATATACACGTGTTTTTTTTAAATGAATTATACTATTTTAATCTATGATATACATATGATTACAATTTAGTGACGTATGTGTGATCTAATTACCAGGGCAGGGTCGATTTTACTTTCATTTTTAATGGAGGCGGAATGAGCTGGGTGTGAATTAAGGCAGTGAATTTTACATAAATTATAGCCTCGTTATTTATCAATCCCGTCTTTATCTTCTAGCTCCCACTTTTTATGGGAATATAGCAGGACATTAGACTGAATACAGTCGGGTCGGATTAAGGCCCTAAGTACTGAAAAGAGGTCGTAATAACTGAAAAGATTATGCTGCAACAATATAAGTAATTGAAAATGAAACGTACATTAATTTTATCTTTCGAAATGAATCAAAACATAAGAACTTATTTTCTAATTTTCTGGGCCCGGTTCCTAGAAAATTCTTAAAGTAAGCACAAAGTCATGCTTTACTTTTTCTTACGTAAGAAACTTATAAAAATACCGTCCCTAGAAAATTCTCAAGACCATTCTTACGAAAGCACAAGTCAAGTATAAGTCTAAGCACATTGTGACTGGTAAAGTTTACCATAAACTGAGACTACGATGCTCTTTAACATCATAAAAACAACCTTGGTATGAAAATTACGTCTTAAATTTGTCGTCTGCTTCATTGACGTCATATATATATATGGTTCATTTCGATGCATTTGACATGTCCCCTATTCACATATAAAATGTGCCACAAGATATAAAACGCAGACACATACAAACTAACTGAATAATTGTGAGAGCGCCTGATCTTAAAGTAGCCTGTGTGTTTGTAGCCTATTGTTTACTAATTGGCAAATTTCAGGGTAGGCCAAGAAGCGAAATTTTCTATAGCATTCTTAATTTGAAATTTCTTCTGGAGAAGGATTTTCTCTGTCTTGTAATTGTATCTTTGGTATCAAATGCCGTCGAATAACTCTACGGTCAGCCATCTTTTTGAAGCAGAAACAGACTTAAAGTTGGTAAGCAAGCCGTATACCTTGCTTGTTTAGATTGACTATGTTTAAAAACGAAGTTGTGCTTAAGTTTTTTCTTGGAACGCATAATAACGTTCTTGTGCTTACAGTGAAGTATACTTAAAATCTAAGGACAAGAACGTTCTTAAGAATTTTCTGGGAACACAAAATAAGGTAAGTTTACTTAAATGCAAAGTCTACTTAAATCTAAGCACAAGAGCGTGCTTAAGAATTATCTAGGAATCGGGCCCTGATTGCAAAAGCAATGATAATGTATTTTGATTGAAGTCCCAGGTTTAGTTTGCATGATATTCTCAATAGCAAATCTGGCAGTGTATAAATAAAACCTATACTACGGTGCCCCCTGCCTTGCTGCCCAGTATTTCCAGAGGTCAGTCTACAGAACCATGTTAATTGGAAATAAATGAAAGAATGAATGAATGAATAAAATAAATGGGTCCTCGGTATTTCTTCTCATCCGAATGAGTTGGCCGTGCCATTGCCAGGCCCTTCGTCCAGCATCACTGCCAGGCCCTTCGTCCAGCATCACTGATAGGGGCGGGGGTGGAGGAGGGCGGGGGTGGAGGAGGGCGGGGGGGGGGGTCATTCTGGAAAATCCCGAGAAAATTTCGCGGCCAACGTCGGCATCGAACACGGGTACTACGTGATAGTGAGCTAGCGCCTCACCCACTGAGTCACCCTGACACCCAAAGTAAACGTTCTAGCCACCATCACTGTGGGCTAATAAAAAATATACATGTTCTTTCTACTCAATCTACCACTACATGGCTGGTGCTTTCTTCCCAACAATCGCATATGATGACCTTCTGAACGTTCTTTCACCCTCAGTTTCGATACAAGATTACATGATATATCTTCTAGGGTGATTGAAATGCCAGCCTTCATCACTCTACTCGTTAATTATTTTCTCTGTATCTTAATTATTTTCTTTTTTTAAAAAGTCACTTGTAGCTAGTGGACAACGAATAACATGCGAATTTCCAGTCTATACTGAAACATATGTTAATAAATTACAGAAGTGTATTGATTTGCCGCAGAAAAAAATCTGAATATGGGAGAGTTTGAATATTTGATTATAATGTGTGTTGTATATTTCTAATATTACATGAATATCAATTACATATTCTATTGTTACCGTCATGTGCGAACAGATTGCATCTATGTTTATTTTATATATATTTCGATTTTAAGAACCCAGATGTTCAAAGATTTTTTAAAATTAAAATTAAACCCTTTTAAATTACAAAATATTATAACAAATGCAGAGCAAATCGAAATCGACAAATTCCGGTAAACAGACTTGAGTCTTTCTTCATTTCGATTTTTCCCCCTGTCGGGTTGGATTTGTTTTCTTGACGGGGTTTAGGTGGGGGCGGAGGCGTATGATGTTAAGTTGACTTCATACTTTGGCTTTGTTGATGATAAGAGTAAGTGCTGGAGGGCCACACCAACATAAACAATTACATCATAGTACACGAAACCGGGTCCCATCAACTTTGTCTTTAACGTATAAAAAGCCAATACATGGCCATCTGGAAAATTGTTTATGCATTTGTTAAGCCAAATGACATATACCTTTTTTATTATACATTTATAGATATATAATAAGACGGTAAGTAATTGTTAGATCTGTCTACCTTCCTAAATATGGGGCATTGGTTTTACAGATAATACAAGATTATTATTAACGAAATAATAATATTTAACCTTTTATTAAATCTAGAAAAAAATGACAAACAACATGATTTATAGACTATTGAATAAATTAACTAGATTACAATTAACATGGATATGCAACATCGAATGGTGGTGGTGGATTCAAGCTCTTTGATCAGTGTATCAATAATAACTAATTGATATCTATATACATATTGTAAGATTCTAAAACCCATAAACGAATTCCACAATTTTCCTCGATTCATCAGTTGAATAGATAATACGGGAGTATTTCTTGATCTAAGGATTACTGAAATCCATTTTTACAATCAAATATAACAATTATAGTATATAGTTAACGTCTTTTCTGGAATGTTGCCACATTTAGTGGGACGTATGCTAATCATAAAATTTCGCGAGATCATGGAATTTAACGAAAATGATATGTTTAATCATTGATAATTAATATCGCCATTGGAATAATTAAGACTATCGCTCACAAATACTCATGTTTGTCGTTTTGGTGTTCCGATAACTTTCGCAGCAAGTTTCATCTCTCCGTTTTGGAATGTGGGCTGTGCTTCAAATATCAGTAATAAAGATTTTAAATGAAATATAAACATACCAAAAATATCAAATACTAATTCTATACACCACATATTTTATATTTACTATATTAGAAGTTTATATACCCTGTTCGTTAGAGCTCCGGGTTTATGGTCACAATACAACAGTCTTCGATTAGAATTTTCAAACATTCTTAAATAATTGCTGTAAAAATTCTAAGACAACATATTTAAGACAACAAATACTTCTAAGATGAATCCATGATTTCGTTTTCATATATCTCTACACAATGGCATGTTCGCGTGTGGATCTAAACAACAATATGTAATTAATGATATACAATATGCAAATAATAATAATAATAATAATATTAATAATATACGTTTTTTAGTGAATCCTATACTAACCTTGTTTACATCATTTTTATATTTAAACATAATCTATGATTGCCGATGAATTGCGAAAATCCGGAAATGTCCCTCGCACTATTAAAGAAACTCTAGGACATTTCCGTTGTTGTGTCGAGTGTATTATAGATCATAGTCGTTATATAATGTATAAATTATGTATTTTATGTTACTACATTAATATACATTGAAAATTCTATTCTACTTAATCTATTACAGAGCACAGGTCCGTTTCTTCTTTTGAACAGGTTTTGTATTAAATGTTGTATTGTTCTTATACGGTTTTTTTTTCGTTTGATTTTCTAAATGTAAAGAATGGTTGTTTGTTGTATGGTCAGCATTTGAGGTTATTAAGGAGATTTGGGTACTATCGTTATCGTGACGTGAAATACGTTACTACTAGGGAGTCGGTCACTTTGACGAAGCGATGTTTGTTCATTACCCTAATTGGTCATTTAGGATATCGCATTTAAGTGAAATTATAGACTCCATATTGCATTCAAATTTAAATATTATTCTATTTTTCTATCATGAAAATTCTGTTACCAGAATAACACCAAATCCCTTCTTGTATAATGGTACCAAAGTAGTCAAGTCAATTATCTTATTGTTGTACTTTTTTCAAATGTATACTTTTCATAAAACGGTGTCTGTATTCTGGACGTTTACACGAACTAACTCACCCAGATCTATTATACAATAAATATATATAATGACAAATATGCAATGTATAATATATACAATAATTAACAGGCAAAATATATTTATATTTATGAATAAACGCTAGATTTCAACGTTTATAAATATATATATTTACCTTTCTTATGCAATCCATATATATATATATATATATGGATGGTACGAGGGGGCGACCTCTTTGATTTTTGTAAGAAATAAAAGTGCACATTTGATTTAATGTAATGCATTAATTTCCTTTGGAATGAAAATCTTTCTATTTCATAAACTTCTTTCCGTAAATTAATATAATCAATCTTGCTTTCAACTTCTTCTGCTTTTTCTTCTGAACCGAACGTTTATTTGTCGAAAGTGTGTACATAATAAGGAAAGTCATTCAAAACGTATTGTTTTACCTAAAATCAAAGAGGTTTCGATCCTTCAGTACAGGTCAATGTGCAGTAAATACAATGTATACAAATATGTCTTCAATACGAAGATATATAATCTATCAAAACAATAAACCATGAATAATAATTATAATGATATTAATAATAACAACAATAATAGTAATAATATCTGTATTCTTCAAAATCAACAACTTACATTTAACAATGAATTAGACATTACCAAGTGAGTGTATGGAAATTGAATGGTTCGATCATCAAGTTGGGTGTATCTATTGGAGTTATTTCCCTTTATTAGTCTTTGCCAAAGACCATTATTTGAATTAACTGTCAATATATATGAATATTGGTCAAGATATTAAATAATATTAAACAATTGAGTCAAGTTGGTGATAAAAGAGTTGCTTGCCCCCTTTTTTATACCTTTATTTCACTTATTAGTATGATAATGTATGATAAAACATACGTAAAAAAACTGTTTAGTGGCCTATCAATTTTTTTATTATATAGATATTCTGGAATATTGTGCAATACGTAGATATTAAAATTGAAATGGCTTGGAGCAAAGGTAAATAATTCTAATAAAGGACCAAAAAAAAGATATAATCACGTTTTACCAAAGGTCTATAACTCTGTCCAAAATAATCTGATCATCACAACTCTAGAAATAAGTACAAAAATCACAACCACAAATAATTCGATATCTTTCACGAGATAAATATCTTGATATCTTAATTCACAACCATGGATGAGGAGGGAGATTTAAGTGGTGAAGGTGTGAACACATATGACACATAAAAACTACATAACATATAGTCTGGATCCTTTGACAGTTACTAACAATTCTCATTTGCTATTTCGATCCCTAAATTGATTTATTCCCAATTTTTCAGAAAATAACACTAAAGAATCTAATATTTGTAAGGGGATATTCAAGCTGATTATCCGGACAGGGTTCGATATTAGTGACATGTTTTTTTTGTGGAGCGGCAATAGCTAGTAATGTCAAAAGTTATTTTTCGAAAAAAAAAAAATTACTATCGGCAATGCGATTAAATCAAAATCTCGATAGCCACATCCGCCAAAGAAATCCAGCTTTTATGAAAGAATCTTGTATACCGTTTGGGATGAGTAATACGCCATTCACATTAACAAATATGATAAATATATTTATTATAGATTGATAAATTAAAACTGTATTAATTTAATTCTATTGATGAGAATGCTAATGTTGTAGAATTTCAAAACCGTGTTCCATCTATTGCTACCTGAAAGTAGGCATACACTCTAAACTACGAACTAACTACATAAATACCGTACATTTAATTATGGTATATTTACAGATATTGGTGATTTAATATCATTTTAAACAACGAGAAACAATCTATTCTCATAATGATGGAATCTATTAGCGTATACATTTACAAGCTTATGTTTAACTACCTGGGGTAACATTTATCGAATTACGGAAACGCGGCTTCAGTATTTTAAGTTTTAAAAAAGATAGTGACGTAATAAAATGAAGTGCACATATTGGGTGACGTCATGTTTCATATTTGCAACCGGTAACTCAGAATCTATATATTCATGTAGACTTCGACCTGACTTTGTTAGGTTACAATCCAAGAATGGGGAATACACCCACTTCTGAAAGACGGTAAATAGAAGAACTATCGATTACCAATAAGTTAGTAGTATTCTTAAGTGGTGCCATTGTTTTGATAAACCGAACTAAAATCTCCAAATTTTGGACAATCCTTAAATAATATTATGATATCATTGTTACCGTGTTAAAGACAAAACGTCACGTGAGAAGTGTAAATCGATAAATGCAGGGTTTGACAACAGCTTTATAGATTAAGAAAATAAACCGTGTTCTAAAGTTTGATTTAAGCGTTTTGTTTTCTCTCCAAATATGTCTTTCATACTCCATCGTTATCGTTCATCGATTGAACTTGCTGAATCTATTTATAGAAATTACCGCCATCTTTTTTCTCGCGCAGTTAAAATAGTTTTAACTTGCAGACGATTTCCGTTATATAATCATGTATATATATATTTACAAATACATACTACCCCAACTACAGCACTATGGACTACAATCGTTTTTCGGTTTTCTTGCTTCATTATGGTATTTTTTGGAAAATTATATCATGTCATTTTTATCATCATAATTCATATTCAACTGAACTATTGGCAGTTGGGAATATTGCATATTATCTCCGAGAATGCGCGTGATAAGTATTTCCGGTTAAATACACTAAACTGCAGTAATGGCGTTTCCTTCGTGACCGTTTGGAACTTTGACTGGTTCGTGTTGTAGAGTTGTGTCGAACATCTCGTGCTCAAGTGGAGGTAACTCATGCTTTGACAAATGATAAACCAGACCAGCCCCCAGACTGTCACCCATGACGTTGGTCATAGTTCTGAATCGATCCCTGAAATAAAGGAAAGGGGAGTCATTTAAAAATCAATGTGATCGAAAAAAAATATACGGTTACTTTCTGCCAGTGCAATGTTAGAGATGATAATTTATCAAGGTGCACGCCAATGTATAGGCTGGTGGTCCTCGATGTTTCATCCCACCCGAACGACTAATCAACACATCGTTTGTAATCCCCATGGGCGCTAACTAGGAAACGTGGAAATTGGTCTTGAAAAATCCCCGAATTGGACCCTAGACTACTGCCACTCTCAAAATCAACGATGAAAGTGGGAGACCAATTGAATCATAACCCATAATATTGACTCCACTCTGCGGGAGAGCTTCACAACAGCTCTAATCCTCACCAACATCTACAGACGGCAAATCTAGATCTGTGAAACGTTCTATAATTTTCCAGTCGTCTAAAACAAAACTGGAAACAAAGTTAGGCCAGTAAAAATAACCATTTTGACTGACTGAACTATGTTCGATTTTATTGCCTTCATGTATGTCGCCATTATCCGAGCTTAGGTAATTTAATTACACTAAAAGGTTTGAGTCACGTGATACTTACAAGAACCAATCGACGACTAGAATCAATGTGATGTCATTGACAGGTAAACCAACAGCTGACAGAACAATTACCATGGTTACCAGACCTGCCTGTGGAACCCCGGCAGCTCCTATCGATGCAGCAGTAGCCGTTATACTAAAAAGAGAGTATATGAAAATAATGCAATGTATTGAATTATTGAAGGTCTGAACTCCAATTACACCGTCTTGTTAAAGGTTAAAGCGCCTAGAATTGTTCTATTCGTGATGTCCTGGGGTACATAAAGGATACAGTCAACTTGCAAAAGTAGGAGGCTTTTAAATTAAGGACACGGATATGCTATATTCTGAAGACAATTGCACGGGTCAAAACCAAAGTGGGCTAACCCATAATTTAAAAAAAAAACCAAAACAACAAAAAAACAAACAATCTGTTTCACAGAGGATTACGAAAGCCTTGTAATATCTCTGTAAAAGATGACTACCTTTAACACGTGACGTCTCATCACGCGGCGTCTATTAGTGGCTCAATGTCGCGTGCATTGTTTACATAAGACATTCTAGTTCGGGCAGAATCGAGACTTTTACTCATTTTAATACCCATTTGCACTAAATAGGAAATAATTTTTACCTACAAATACCTCAAACGCCTTTATTTATTTTTCTAATACATAAAAAAAACGTTTTAGAATTTAATTTGTCGCAGGATGTCATCCTTATCAGTGATTGTAGCGGCCTAGTGAAAATTCACTGCTGAAATTCAGGCAAAAATTAAAATGTGAACTAAATAATATATTCCTGAAATAAGGCATGGCATAATATACTATTCAAAAAAAGTAGGGGATATTTGATTTTTAAGTGTTATTAAAGTCACCTAATGAAACTGACGAAGAAACAAATGACAAAATGAAATAAAGTTCACATTCATCGATTTATTCCAAATGATCGTTAGACTAAGTAAGGCACAGACTGACCATTATAAGGGTAAAATGATACCCGGGGTCAAACAGCAAAGTTACCACAGCATCACAACCAAGTCAGTAACGGGTAAATCCTCCTCTGTTTGCCAAACAAGCATTGATCCGACGTGGCATACTCCTAATGAGACGTCTAAGGTCATTTTGGTCCAGATTGTCCCATTCCTGTTGCAACGCCGCAGCAAGTTGTTGACGTTGACGTAACCTCTGTCCAAGCATGTCCCAGACATGCTCGATGGGGGAGAGGTCGGGCCAAGGTAATGTGGTGATGTTCTGTTGTTGGAGGTAACCTGTAACGATCCTGGCCCTGTGACATCTTGCGTTGTCATCCTGGAAGATGAAACGGCGGCCATGACGTCGTGCGAACGGCACAACATGGACTGCCAAGATGTTGTCCCGGTAGTACTGGCCTGTAACACGCCCTGCAACAACATGTAAAGCCGTTCTTCCAGCAACAGTGATGCCTCCCCACACCATAACAGAACCACCCCCAAATCGATCATGTCTGATGACGTTAACGTCTTGGAAGCGCTCGTTTCGACGACGCCACACCCTCCTACGTCTGTCCAAAAAATCAACAGTGAACCTTGACTCATCTGAAAACATCACATTGCTCCAGCGTCGATTATCCCAGTGTTGACGATCCCTACACCAACGACGTCTTGCCTGAATGTGATGATCTCTCAAACAAGGGATCACGCGAGGACGTCGGGCGCGAAGGTGACCCCTATGCAGTCGATTCCGAATCGTCTGGCCACTCACTCTCACACCAGTGTCTGTTTGAAGACGAGCGCTGATCTGATTTGCTGTGATGACACGATTTCTCAAGGCCAAGGTACGGATAAATCGATCCTGGGCTTGAGTTGTCGCCCTTGGTCGACCTGAGCGTGGTCTGTCCTGTACAGATTGTGTATCACGGTATCTGGACCATAGCCTGCTTATGACAGACTGAGAAACATTCATCGTCCGCGCCAACACCGCCTGTGTTGTGCCGATCTGTAGCATGCCAAGGGCACGTAACCTTTCATTTTGGGTAAGCCGACGCATATCAAAATTTGTTTTCTGGTCACTAAAACAATTAAACTGATGTTTCCACCCTGGAATTCAATGCCACAATGACTGTAACATTCAAAGTCAGAGTCGTGCAAATCTTGGGTTGGACCCCCATGATGATCCCAAGCATCACCTGCATTCCATGCGGTAGCTATTGGTGCGTTTGGGCGTCACATGTAACTGGAAATGTTTCTTCTGTTAGGTTCTATAGTGACTTTTTTCGTAGTCATTTGCATATTTTAGTATTATGCCCCCAAAATCAAATATCCCCTACTTTTTTTGAATAGTATATATGGGATGTCAGAATATCACTGACCTTGATGAATTACAGAATTTTTAATCATCGATAAACTTTGAAGTGAATTTTCTTAAAAAGTTGCCAATGTGGGTTAGTCCACTTTAGGTCTGACCGCTTCACGTATTCATTGATTCAAAGCACGACATACCTATTTGGAACGTACGCGGGATATTACGTAAACCAAAAGGAATCAAAATACCATCTGGGGGACTAGAGTGTCGCGTTTCGACCTCTAGCTGCCCGGTCATTTCTGACTTGCGGTTGTGGTTTCGATCCATGGTGTGAGCGTATGTGGTATGGAGAAAGGGGCGCCTTCTCAACCTCGTGGGTTTATTCCGGTTTTGTCCTACAGGAAAGACCCCGTACGTGCGCTAAGATAATAAAAATGAAAATATGACAACTTGTCTGCATTATCACCGTTATTGGGTGATCTAGAGAAAGTAAGCATATCATATATTTGCATCACATTCGCAACTACTGAGAGATATAACTTCGCGACTACAGATAGATATAACTCTTACACGATGCAGAAAAATAGGACGTTAACTCCATTTATAACTCTTACATCCTAAAAGTGTGCCATGCAAAGAGAACTTTACGTGTTAATAGGATGTTTAAAACAAGCTGCATAGACGTGATAGTTGGGGAAAGAAAATGTCCAAATTATTGAACCATTAAAACACTTCGGACAGTGGCGCAAACAAAATGCGTATAGATAAAATATTTAAAAGATATTTCGACTTCTTTCTACAATAGCATGTTATCTCGCTGCTCTAATGCAATTTTACAAAAATCGAAAGCTGGCTTCTAAAAGCTCTTTTAATTGATCTTGGCGGTGTGAGCTCGTTTTCACCGCCATCAAAAAGACGCAATCGGCAATCGTAATGGAATATTCAGTGATAAGATTTAGAAAAGATTGGGCTTGTGTCAAAATAATTGATTGTTCCTGATGTGTTGTAGAGCTCGACTAGTCCTTCATTGAACAAGACGGTCGACTATCAGTGATTGGAATACAGAACCAGACTGACATACACTTCATTTAAACTCCTAAGCTTCTCCACAAAAAAGGGAGATAATTAAATTTCCCTGATTTACTCCGACTTATTGATCATTGGGAGTTATCGTTGTAAAGTAACGCTTCTTATCGGGGATTATCAGAGGTGCGAACATCGACATAAATACAGCACGAGACCTAGGGAAATGGCGGAGTGATCTGTTGGTTAATAAATAAAATGGAGAACACGGATGGCGCATGTAGCGATATAATTACTTTTTGTTCAATCGTTCAATAATTTGAACATTTAGTAAGATACACGTCTATCTGATCACTTTATCTTCACGTATAGCTAGGCCTACATGTTCCCAACAAATGGATTTTTAATTATATTTTATACCGCGACGTTTGATAAAGTGCAGGTTCACAGTCGTCACAACATAGTCCCTATTTTACTATAATTCAATCGTTTTAAGACTTATTTTGGTAGTTTTAACAGTTTTCAAAGGGTTTCTATTTTTGATGGGATTTAGTTATAAATCCGATGGTTTTATTCTTTAATAAACAGTTTTAATGAAATTTATCTCAGATTTATTCAGCCAATCACGGACTGGTTCTAAAGAACCATTAAAAATTCCGTCACCACAGATTACAAAAATCAAAAATTAGACAAATCCTTTAATGCTAGCCATTGGAAATTCCGTCATTACAGATAAAACGAGCAAAAATTGGATTAATCCTTTGATTCTAACTTTTTTCTTATTTTAAAGATGAAAAAGAATAATTAAATTACAAAACACCATGTCCTTGTTGGAATAGTTTGTTTAGGGAAAAAAAGTGACAAAACTACAGAAACTAATCCAATACACATGGATGTTATCCTCCGTCGTTTAGACGTAGAAAAAACAAATGAGTGGTTAGCAATCGCAAAATCGTTTTTTTAAAGGCATACGAGGTTATTAACCTCTAGATAATCTTGGTCAGAAATATTTCATCCATAAATTGAACCAGATTGAGGCGTACAATCAGATGGTTCTTATAGTGAATGAATGACATGATGGTTTTACGTCCTACTTTTCTAGAGAGAGAGAGAGAGAGAGAGAGAAGAGAGAGAGGGGGGGGGGGGTAACGAACGTCCACTTGACACAATCTATGCTTGCCCATAGTTGTCTTTAGCAGTGGTAGGAAACCGGAGGACCCGGAAAAAAACTCACAAACTCCTACTCCTTGTCACGTACGAAAGGGGAATCGAAAGCACGCCAGTTGACTCAATGACAGACCCTATGATACAACGCGCATAAAGAAGGTTTCTTAATAACACTTCCCTTTGAGGTGTAAGGAAGATTTAGCTCGTGCATAATGTATGTTTAAATTACCATTTAATTGTAGAAATGGCGTTTAGAAAATCATTCCTGGGACATATTAATGATCATTAACGATGCATTATGTAAAAGCTAAATCTGCGTATGGCATGTCTTTCTTTTGGCCTCAAATTTAAGTCAAATGTTATATAAATTACTAATTAAACATTTATTGCCGTGACTTTTAATGGATTGGAACACGACCACCATTTAATAATATAATTTAAAAATGGATAATCGAGACATCGTTTATTATCGTAACAATGGTAGCAGTGAAAATCGAGACTACGTTATTTTTATCTAAACTTCAAACAATCATAACTTCGCTCTGAATGAAGAAATTTGGCTGAAATTTTCCATATATTCCTCTTTTAATTTCTATTTGTTTAAACAGTCAGGTTTTTGTTATCCAATTTTTACATGAAATGAAATGAAATGAAATGGGGTTTAACGTCCTACTGTTCTGCTCCTAAC